TCTGAGTAGTTCTCATTGGTCTGTATTCTTTTTTTTGGCAAAAGAAAGTCTGCATCATTGTCATCAGAGATCCTCTGGGTTGTTTTAATACTGATGTAACTAAGACATCATGTCTGGCATGATATCTTTTTAGATATTTGTTAAGAAAAAAAATAGAGTGTCTGTATTGAAAAGAAACTTCTCCTTCATGCTTTTACCTAAGAGGCAGAGAACTAAGATCTGTAACAGTTCATGCACCTTTTTTTCTGGTTTTGCAGCCCATCCATATTTCAAAGACAATTTCAGTCATGCCATGCAAAGGTTCTCCAGCTTGTTGAAAGAGTAGCTGCAACCATTTCATAGTAGTGCTTGGATCAATGCATCATTTAAAACTCAGGTGTTAATGAAGCAGTTTCATCCATATATCCAAGTATGATTGTGAAGTAATTCCAAATGAGTCAGTGAACCACATACATTAACTACCAAGGGAGCAGTCTACAGGTGAAATACTTATAAAAGCTTTTGAACTATCTATCCTTCCTAGTACCTTCTATGAGCTTAAAGCAAAGTAAATGTCACTTTTTTTCCCCCAGTGACTGCAAAATTCTTCTAAGGATAGGAATTCATTTAGTATAGCACATGCGTTTTACATTATAAAGTTGTATTTTATTCCTTCAGATGTAGGAAACCTGTATTAAAATCATATTATTGCAAAAGATATTCTGAATTTGATGTAATGAAACATGATTGTAGATGACAGGAGACATTGTATTTGCATATCTATTTTGTTTTATAATTTGTAGGTCATTTACGATACAAATTAAAATAAAAATTACAGATTTAACCCAATCTCAGTTCAAATACTTTGAAATAGATTTTAAACACATCATATCATCATATTTTCTCCCTCTGTTTAGGCATTGCCAAATACTGCATCTTGACTGGACTTCCAGGAAGCCCTGTGGTCCTTCCCCTATGCCCCAAAGCAGGAGCAAGTTATACCTTGTGTCATTCCTGACAGATGTTTGTCTCTTGCTCTTAAAAATCTCAAGTGACAGTGACTCTACAACACCCCAAGGCACTCTGTTCTCATGTTATTCTACATTTGCTTGTGGAATTTTTCCTGCATGTCTAATCCAAGTGTCCCTTGCCACAGTTTAAAACCATTATTTCTTACCTACCCTCTCTGGAGATAGAGAATAGCTTAATAACTCTTTTTTTCCTTTCAATTGTCCTTTAGATACCTAAAGCTAGTTATCATATTCCTCTGCTTCAATGTATTGTTATCTAGCATCATTGCAAAATGAGGAAGCAATATTTTCTGGTAATATTTATGTAATTATTCCTCAAGGGAACAGTTTTTCTACTGCATCAGTTGTCAGTGCTATTTGCAATGGGATTATGTTAGAAGAAATTATAAACATGTTTATTTTTGTAATTCAGTGAGGACAAAGTAAAATAAATAAAATGGTCCAATGGGAACAATTTCAAGAGAGGGCACCCTTCAATTAATCTTTTGGGCTGCAGCTGGCTAAGAGTTTCTCTTTCAGTCAAGCAGTACTCCTTGTTTTACCCTGATTGCTGCTTGTTTAACAGTATGGGAAGGGCTCAAATCAAAATCTAAGGGCAGAGTTTTACATGTGAGTGTGGGGGGCCATGTGCATGTGCAGCAGGGGTTGTTCTGGAAATGCTTCTGAACATATTTATGGCCCCATGAGTACAAGTCCTGTCAAGTCCTTGTGTCACTGGGAAAGAACAGTATCTACAAGGACAATATTGGTTTCTACTGATTTTTGGTACCTGAAGCAACTTCTTTGCTTTCTCACAGTCAGAATTCCACTCATTTTGGCTTTCCTGGGCCACCTTTAGTGTTCTTTTGGCTTAAATTTTAGCTGTCATTTGGAATCTAAGGCCTTTCCTTTAAGCTAGCACTGTCAGCAGTACCCTTAGGAACTTGCACATATTTGCCCCCATTCTGTGCTGCCACCAGAAGAGTCTTTTTGTCCCACCATGTTACAGCTTTGACTACAATGCAGAAATCCTAGGTGAAACCAGAAAAAGCTTTGTATCACAATTTTCTTACTCTTCCTCCCACTGTATTTTTTAGGAGGAGTCCATTATGGTCACATCACATGTGCCTCCATTATTTTGGGTGTGGGACATCAACAGATCTCTTTCTGGTGAGGAGAGAGACTGTTATGAAGCATCTGTGAGTTCATGATGTGTGTGTTGATGGACAAGCAGCTCAATGTCTTGGCAAGGTGTGTTCACAATCACGTCCTGGGCTGCATCCAAGGCAGGTCAAGGGAGGTGATTCTGCCCCTCTGCTCTGTCTTTGCGAGACCCCACCTGGAAGTACTGCATCCAGCTCTGGGGATCCCAGCATAGGAAAGTCATGGGCCTGTTGGACCAAGTCCATAAAGAGCAATAAAAATGGTAAGAGGGCTGGAGCACCTCCTGTGAAGACAGGCTGAGAGTTGAGGCCGCCCTGCCTGAAAAAGGGAAGGGTCTGGGAGAAATTAGAGCATTCTTCTAATACATAAAGGGGCCTACAGGAAGGCTGGACAGAGAGGTTTTGCAAGGGCAAGCAGTGATAGGACAAGAGGGAATGCCTATAAAGCTAAATAAGATTAGATCAGATTTAAAAGGTTTATATCAGATATTGGGAAGAAATTCTTTACTGGGAGGGTGGTGAGGCACTGGAACAGGTTGCCCAGATAAACTGTGGATGTCTCATCCCTGGAAGTGTTCCAGTCCAGGCTTGATGGAGCTCTGAGCAACCTGGTCTAGTGGAAGATTCCCTATTCATGGCAGGAGGTTGGACCTATTTGATCTCTGTGGTTCCTTCCAACACAAACCATTCTATGATTCCTGTGCATTAACTTCTAATCTTAGAAATCTTTTTGCATTTGTCCATTTTTCTTCATGGAAAGATGTTGTAGCAGCTTTGAAGGCATCATTAGTGGCCACCAGAATGAAAAAGAGCATTAAACTGCATGATGATGTATTTTCTTTATTCTCAGTTTACTGCATTAGTTGTTTTAAAGACACTTTCCATCGAGAGCTCTGTATCAGTGCCTGTGTCTCAGAGCAGTGTGCAACTCAGCAAGCACTGCATTTCCACAACATTGCATGGTTCTTGGAGACAACCCCATTTTCTTAATGTAAATATCAGATGGAAATTATTTTCACCCTCTTTCCACCTATTGCTCAGAATGCAAGTGGTTATGGAACCTAGATTTCCATAGAGTCCCTGAAAACTGCTTTTGAAACCAAAACCAAATGTGTTGGTTTCTGTAAGAGTATAAAATAGTATCCTAACAAGATTTTATGGCTAATCTTCAGGGTAATTATGAAATTTATTTACCTCACTACAGTGTGTTTGAAATTGTATTTAGAGATTCATGTGGTGTTTATTTAGTTCCAGCAACAATTTAGTTTTCCACACAGCAGCAAGTCATACTCATAAAAATAAGACTCATTTCAAAGTATTGCCAGTGCACCAAATAAAATTTACAAACTTGGAGGTGTGTTTATAGTCTGAATGTTTCTTTTTTCTCTTAATCTAACCAAATGAAAAACACTTTCAGTAATATATATGTAGTTCTCAGTTTAAAACATATATATCTCAAAGAAAATAAAGACCTTTCTCAAGCCTCCTCTGTTTTGCTAAGGACCAAAAGAAATAATAGTTTATTGCCAGATTATCTTTTGATTGTCTTTGTAAGAGGCAAATATTTGACACAGGAAAGTCAAAATTGTAGTACCCTTATTTGCCTATTAGGCTGGCACTCATCTAGACATAGAGTTTGTGTCCTCATTATCAGCTAGTGTATTTTTCTTCCAGAAGTGCTGCATTTTATGGCAGCAGCTTAGGAAAAGCAAGTGGTTCATTAATCCACACTAAAATTGAAGGTCACTGCTATAAGACTTTGAGATTCATTTGAGGTCAGCTGAAGTTCAAACATATATCTGAAACACAATAGTAAAAGCAAACTGTTGCAGTGGTCTATAAAAACCCATTACTCAGAACTTCATCTTCTCAGGTCTTTTGCTACAATATTTTGGATACTGAAGTAGGAAACTAAAGAGTGAGTGTAGTTTACAGAAGACAGCTGCTTTCTTCCCTAAGAAATAAAATGAGGAAATAATGGCATATACATAAAAATTTGGTGGTTTTATTTTTCTTGAATGTAGAGGTCTAAATTAATAATGCAGTTGTCCAAATTAACAAACAGAAAGAAAAAAGAAGCATGTTATATTTAGCTATGCCATTAGCTGATTTAGAGCATCTCAATCCCACGTTTCCTTGGAATAAAGCAGAATCTATGGGTCAAATCTCTGTGAGCATAACCAGAACTTTTCTCTATTATACATATTTATGTACTTACATATACACTGTGCATATTTGGTACTTATGTATATTGCCTGTTAACCAGCCAGATTTTTTTTTCTGTGATGAGCCACATCATTGTTTCACAATGAAAATCACATTTGATTAAAATATCTTTTGTGAAGCATGCAGCATCTGTTACTTCTGCTCTCTGTCTCAAAATTCCCATGGAGTCTGCTGTAGTTGCTCATTAGACCTCCCAAAGCTACATTTAATGTAAAACAGCTCCATTAAATATCACTCATCTTTTGGAAATGAATCTAATATACAATCCATGTGCAATGCATGGCTGAATCTCAAGTAATAACTCCTTCCATGCACAACAATAAGCCTTACTGTAATTATTTTCTTTTTACAATACACTGAATTTAACACCATATTATACTCATGCAACTCATATTCATGTTAGCAATAACAAAATCCATACCTGGATTCATGTAGATAATGGCTCACTGTAGAGGGCAGATGCCTGAAAATGAGAAGAATCAGACTTCATTTCAAGTCAGCCTCTGAATTTTTTATAGTCAGGCTAGTCATTAATATCTATGCTGTAATTGTGTAAAATGCAAAAGAGGGAAAATGATGTCTAATGCCTCTGTGAAAATGGTTTTTATTTTTATTTTACTAGACGTATTATTGCTACTGTTCTTCAAGGAGTCAACCTATCCCATGGGATTCCCATGTGGAGGAGTTTCAAAGAACATAGAACATGAATGACAAATTTTAAGAGTCCCAGACAGAAGGTAAGTTAAATCTTCAAAGCTTTCAATCTTGGACCATATTAGGCATGGGCATTGAAAGCACAAAACGCTCTTCTCTATGATCACAAAAGACATAGGTCAATGGGATATAGATATTTCGTCACAAAGATCTGTAAATGAAGAGGACAGTACACCATTTTGAGTGCTTGATCATTTCTAGAGGATTTGATGGTTACTTGGCTCCTGAGTTTCACTGACCTCAAGCAAGTTACCACTTAAATACCTGCAAATAACTGGTACCATCCCCTGAGCAAGAATCCTGTACAGAAAAAAACATAAATATCCAGGTCACGCCTCCCACTCTTAATAAAAACAAACAAACAAACAAATATATAAATATACAAAAATCAGGAAGGAAAACCAAGAAAATTGCATGAAAAATAGAATAATGAAATTTCAAATATCATTATATGAAAGTTTAAATGAAGTTGAGCAACTCAGCAACATGCCTCAGCACTGGACATCCAGTAGCTGAAGGATCTGAGCAAAATTAGTTCCTAGTAACTCTGGTGGCTTTAAACTTCTTTTTATTTACTTTTCTGCTTATCTCTACAAAAATTGAAAGGAAATAAAGAACTATGCCTCAAAATTGTTTTTCTTCTTCTTAATCACTAGGCTTTTACCTAGTACATGTGTACAAGTCCTAGAGAAATCAGAGCAGAAGAATGCAGTGACATGCGGAATGATGGAGCCTCTTTATTGCAAATGTTAAAGACTGAATAGTCAAACTATAAACAGACTATAAAGAGGCCCCAGAGCTCTTTGTTTACAAAAAAAAGATTTTTTTTTTAAGTTCATATCTGATACTGGACCTGCCAAGGGAATGCTGGTTGCGTTTAAGGGTTTCATGTTGTTCCTTCACTTATAATTTTTAAGATGCTGTGTAATGATATGCTTATCCAGATGAGAAAATATTTGATGGTTTTATTTGGTAAAGAATATGGGCATAATATTGTGTTAAATGTAGAGATATTTTTGGTAAGCAAAAGCATAGACTTTCCAAGACCCATACAAGACAATTAATAACAACAAAAACAAACCCAAAAAAACCCAAAAACAAAACCAAAAAATTGCCAGTTCTGTAAATATGACTAAACTTGATTTTTATTTTCTGCTCAGAAATTGTTCATATACATACTCTGCCAGCCAGGATCATGGGGCAATTAATTCCAAATATTAGCAATTTAAATGAAGGAGGGGATTTTTATTCATTTTAAAGTTTCCAACCTTCCTGAGAAAATCACAGAATTTCCTATCCTGTACCAGCTATGTTTAATAATACTGTTTAGAAAAGCATGAAGTTATTTAGCCTTTCCACTCTGTTTAGTTTTTCCCACCATTTTGAGAAACATCTGTATTAGTGGTATTAAAAACATACTTTTATAAAATTGTCTCTTTATTCTCTTTCCACATTCTTAATATTACTGAAAGTAAGAGAACTGCAGAAAATATCTTTAGCCTTAAGGCTGGAGCACTGATAAAATTGATGTCTATGAAAACCTTTGAGACTCTTGTCATTTATTTCAGCAGACTGTTCAAAGCACTGTATCCAGAAGGATCTGTGTATCTCTGAGTGACAATCCTTGTCACAACAAGGTTACAGCAGATAACTGCCTGCAATTCTCATTTGCAATGAGTAAAAGAGGCAAGATTTGTCATTCGGACTTTTTCATCCATCTTTACAGAAGGTACTAATAGCAAGAAGGGTTATCATAAACATACAAAACACCCATACATTGCTGCAGCTGCACAAATTAATATCTGTATTAAATTCCCCTGCATTTTCATTGTGAGATCATCAGTCTCAATAAAAATAAATTTCATGTAACTACATTGTAGGAAAGGACATTTTTCAATAGTTAATTGAAATTTAATTATTAATTATGATGAGAATATTTTGTAATTCATTTCATGGAAAACAAGCTACTTTTGAGTGGGGGAATTAATGGAGCTGCATTTCCAACATATTTGTGATTTTCCTCTCATTTAAAGGAAATAAATATCTCAGGTCACCTTCTGATGCTTGTTGTCACCTTTTCTCAGCTTCATACCAGGATTCTTTGCTTCCTCTTCTGTTCCTTATTTATCTTTCCCTGAGTTGTACTGAGACTGGGTTAGAATTATTCACAGTGGGTAGGCATGAGGCTTTTAATCAGCTAGCTGATATCTGAATGAAAAGAACTTTTTCCTTATTTTCTGCCTCTCAGGAGATCAGGAACAGAATCCCAATGAGACCTCACCCCTTTTGTCAGATGTGATTGAAATTGGCTAATATATATAGAAAGATATTATAAAAGGACAGGTAAAATGGTCGCAGACAGTGAAACAGAATTCTCACGATCACTCTTTCCACCCCAAACACAGAGAAGGGGCATCAGGCACAAAACTGCCCTCTGTGTTGGCTCACAGTGACTGAGATCATGGGACAAACACTCTGTCTCATCTAACAGGCTGCAGAGCTGCTGCAGAGTTAATGCCCTTCAGCACAGCAATATTGTAGCTGACGTGTGACAGTTGCATACACACTGCTGCATCTCAAGGCTAAGCTTGGGAAATTTGATTGGTACTGGAACATGGGGAGTATTTTTTTGAAACTGGACTCTGTAAAGAACAGTGTAGAGTTATTATGGTGCACAGCACCACCAGTATTGCTATCAAATACAGGACTCCACCTACAAACCAAGCAACTGAGCAAGGGGTGATCCTCCTCCAGCAGGGTCTTCCTCACAGTTTACTGTGTGGGTCTCTTACCAGGAATTTGCCAGTACAAAGTAAATCTTAGAAAATTCCAGTTTCCTCTAATTTTCTTTAATATAGGAAATAACAAACATATCAGTCTCCTCCTTTTCTGTTCACCATGCTTTGGCAGTCACAGGAAAGGCACACATGCTACAGGCAAGCTGCACTTTTCATGCTGTGTAGATTAGAAGTTCAGGCAGTGAAATGTTAACCATTTTCTCAAAAATTATTAGAAAGGGATAATTTTGTTTTCTCTTGGTATGTCTCCCTGTGTTTTGGCAATCCTTCTTCTTTAAAAGGCTAGTCTTGGAATTTAGGGCAGCAATCAAGATGACCTTTCAGTAAAGGGTATGGAAAGCGTTAGTATCTGAACTTCAGCCACATTAATACATTTCTTTACAGTTTTGAAGCTCACATATGAATCTCCCAAGACAGAAAATTAAGAAATCCATCATAAGTATCACAGAAAATTTTAAGTCAAACCTAAAGAGCTGTAGCTCCAATTAAACAGCAAGTAAACACTGATGACTCAGACTGGTTTTCTCACAGCAATAAATAATAAAAAAGTGCCAATAAAAGGGAGATGGCTTATTTTTGAGAACCTTGATCTACTGCTTAAGAAGTGATATGGTCATGTGCTTTCCCTGCATCATTCATGTCCCCTCCCTGTCACAGACATTCTGTAGGACCTTATATGGATTATAAACCAGTCTGAACATATCACTAGTATTTCTTTGTTTTAAATGAATGCTGCAAGTGTAAGTCTATCAAAAATGACTGGAGTGCCTATAGACCAGGATTGAGAAGCAGGTGTAGACCTGTGCTGAAATGGAATAATCAAAAAGATATGAATATTTTTACCTCTCTTGAGTCTTACTTGTCAATGGTGACTGTCCCTGGATGCCATCAGTTTTGGTGGAAAGCTACTGCCAGGTAAATAAAGTGACATTTTTAGATGGGTGGAAAATGTAATCTACCAGAGAGGTAAAAATGTCTGGCTTAATGTGTGCTACTGCAGATTCTAAAAATCATTTTGGGAATTATTTCCTTTTTTTACTAAAGGTGGGAAGAAAGCTCAGGACAAACAAGCAGGGAAAAGGACCAATCTTCCCACGACTGCTGGCAAGCACCAAGATTCCATAGTTGCACTGAGCAGTCTCACCTGGGATCCCTGCCCACTGCCCACAGGCCCTGGGAATCATTTAAGCGCTGGACTGCTCCACCTTCCCTTCTGGAGACGTGGTGAAGGTGAGTTTGGCTTTAGCTCTGACTCTTTCCTAGATGGACTTCAGGCTTACCCACTTTTTCCTTTGGGCCTGCCATGTACCTTTGTCCTCTGTGCTGCTCCTGAGGCTGTCAATGGACTTGTCTTTTGGCACTCACCTTGGATGCTGCATGCTCTGGCAAGTGGAAGTCCAGCCTGTGCCAATGCTGCCCTCAGTGCCAAGGTCTTCTGCTCCCAGCTCCATGGAGCAGTCCTGGTCCCTGGCACAGAAGCCCTCCTGTGTATGCTGAACAGGTGTTTCACCCAAGGTAGAGAGGATGAGCTTGGTTATGGAAGATTTAACATCACTGCTTTTGTAGAAAATCTTGTAGAAGTCCTTGTAGAAAATCTTTTCTAATTGACTTTTTCTATAAGAATCAATTTTTTTCATTTCAACACTAATTTCTAAGTAGGTTATTTTGTTTTGTTTTGTTTTTTGGGGTTTTTTTGAGGTTTTGGGTTTTTTTTTTGCGAGAAGCTTAAATGGTAACTGTATACAATGTATACAGTCACCATTTTATAGTTGCTAAAGTAGCAACTATAAAAATATGTGTGGAACTCTTCACTTCCAAATACGTTAAAGACCTTTACAAGTCCTGATAATTTCATGCAAATGACTCTCCTACTACTTTCAAACGGCCAGGTTAGTTCTCTGACATAACTGATTAAAATAAGTGTAATGGCAACTTTACCAGCTGCACCTAGGCTTTTTAATGCCTATTTTACAGCTGTCACTAACTTGTGTCAGTGTTGTTTTCGTCAGTAATGTATCAAATTGAAGTTTTCAGGGAACAGCTTGTAGAGTAAACCAAAAAACATTTATTTTATTTATGTCTCTCAGATTTTAAGAAACTTTCTCACTATCCTAGAAAGAGTAATGCAATCTAAAAATTAATAAATATTTTCATGCATCTTTATATTGAGAAGGTACACTGTACACTCTTTCAGCAATCAAGTCTTCTATAGAACTAATTTATTAAGCTGTCTGCAAATCAACAAGTTTTTCTGTCTCATAGCCTGTAAAAACATTAAAGGATCCAACTGCAAAGCAGAGAGCAACTTCACAGGTCTCAGTTTGACTCAGTCAAACAGATGGTGTTCCCCAAGCTATGGTACTGGGGCCAGTCCTGTTTAATATCTTTATTGATGATTGGAATGAGAGGACTGAGCCCCTCCAGTCAGTTTTCAGGTGACAAGTTGAGAAGGAGTGTTGATCTGCTGGAGGGCAGGAAGGCTCCACAGAGGGATTGGCAAGCTGTATTGAGGGGCCCAAGCGAAATGCCAGGTCCTGCACTTGAGTCTCAACAACCACTACAGGCTGGGGGAAGAGCAGCTGGAAAGCTGCAGAGCAGAAAAGGATGTAGGGGTGCTGGTTGACAGCAGCTGAACATGAGCCAGCCTGTGCCCAGGTGGCCAAGAAGGCCAGTGGCATCCTGGCCTGGATCAGCAATGGTGTGGCCAGCAGGACCAGGGCAGTGACTGTCCCTCTGTACTAGGCACTGGTGATGCTGCACCTCAAATCCCATGTTCAGTTTTTGGGCCCCTCAATACAAGGAAGACACTGAGGAGCTGGAGTGTGTCCAGAGAAGAGCAACAGAGCTGGGGAAGGGTCTGGAGTACAAATCCTATGAGAGAGAGCTGAGGGACCTGGTAGTATTAGGACATTTCTTGAAGTGTGGAACATGAGGAAGCACAGGAAGATAGAAAGGCATGTTCCATGCTGGCCCATGTCATTCCCAGTAGTTAGAAGATCCTATGTCCCTGCCTAAGTTGATGCAAAGGTTTACCCACATCCTTACAAATCAGGCCATGAAACTGTTCTCCAGAATTGACTTGATTTGTTTTTCCCCTCTGAGGCTTCAAATTACAAAATCTTGAAATTTAATCCTTTAAAAAGATTAATTTCAACAAAACCATGGAGCTTAAGATGGGGATGGATGGATTTTTCTCCCCAGGCAATTACAGTGCAAATAAGAGGCAGAACTCTTACAACTTGCCTGGGAGGAAATCATCTTTGGGTTCAGATCAAGCTGCAAATAACTTTGGAGACAGCAAAGGACAAACTGAAACCACAGGTTATACTGAGAAATTATTTTATTTAGCACAATTTGTTACATGATATGTGCTGTTGGATACACTGATGTATAAAGTGTCAGTGTTTGAGACACTTGGGAGGTGCAAATGGAGAGGAAGATTTCACAAAGGCCATAAATCACAGTTTTCATCATATTTTGCTTATGTATTTTATTCTCTAGATATACTCATGCATAGCAGGATAAGGTAAATTTTTAAAATTTCAATTTTATGCCAAAATAGCCATCCGTAGATATCCATATGGTGAATCCATATTAGTAATTGTAGAATTGGGAGAATAACTCTGTGCAGAGTTTTTGATATTTAAAAGGATGGATAAGCACAATTTAACTATCTACATGACACAAGAGGCATTCTGCTTCAAATAAATCACGAAAATAGTAACAAGATTTTTATATTGTGCACTGCTTTGCACTGAAAAATATTAAAGAAAATTTTCTAAAAAAATGTTGGATATAGTCAAGTGTATGCATCCAAGGGACAGAGCTATACAAATTAATTCATCAGACTACCATGCAGGCATTCATTCTTTAAAAATATTAAGAAAGGTACCTAGATCATGATGCCAAATTAGTCTGAAATTCAAGAAAGAGTCCTGCTTCTTTAAGGAGTAGCAAACACCATATTAACCAAAACTAGGCAAATTTGCTACTGTGGGTGTAGCAGAAAATGTAGGAGATAATGGAAATCCTGTTAGAGAACTGGTTAAACCTCCCCAGCTCTGACTCAACCAGGCAGCAATTAGGATGTGTAGCAAAGAGGATATGTAAATTGTGCACTCTTGTCTGCTGAAGTGGTAATCATGTTCCAGCTGGGTGCAGATGAAGTGCAGAGTCATGTTTCAAATTCCAAGGGAAAAAAAAAAAAGTAGTTTAAAACACTCCCTTAATTTCCTTTAACCATTTGCTTTTGTCACAACTTTCTGCTAGTCTTGTGTACCTCATTCTAAGTTGGTCTATACATTATATATGAAGCCTGTGTGTTTATCAGGAGGCTTTGAATTCCAGAGGGCAGTAGTGCCTAAATGTGAAGTGAATGCTTTAGGTACTTTTTTTAGTGCACTCTCTTGAGGGTTCTGTTAAGATAAGACTTAACCTCTACTATGCCCTAAGTAATTTACTCCACAGGACATATATTCTCTGAAGAATTCAGCCCAAAACCACAGCAAGAACTAATTAAATTTCAGTCTCATCTACTAAGAAATGTCTCTCTGGCATATCTGTAAAAAATTTTCCTAGGTTTTGGTTTAGGATGAAGTTTAACTTTCAGACTAGGTTGGCATATTTTTTCCATGTGGTGTTCAACTGTGATATTTGCTACGTTTTGCATTAACTTGGATCAATGAAATATATATTTTGGGAAGCAGCATACTGGAGGTGGAGTCATTTGCCTGGAAGGTGGCCAGTCTACAAAAGAAGACCTTTATCTTTCTACATTTTCACTGGTGAATGCTGCTGCAGCATTTTATGTGAACAGCCTACACATTACTTTTTCTCTTCGTTCTGGAAAGTATCTAATAATGAAGCCTACATGAGGTCTGTCTCATAATTATAGCTGTCACCACAGTCTTCCCTATTCCCTGGATATTTTAGATCATAATCTGCAAAGCCAAAAGTATCTTAAAGGCTCAAAGCCACTGAAGTGAAAGCACTTAGTACCTACCAAATATCAAGGTTTCTGAAGTTAAAAAAAATAGCTAATCTCAGGGTAAAGACAAAATAATAACTGAATCATGGAACACCATACTACTCTAGTTGAGCACTTACAAAAGTGTGACAGATAGCTGATACCTCCAGTTAAAATAATTTTTAAAAAGTTATTTATCTTAGCAAATGAAACTCTTTTATGTAGGAGAAGTCCTGGATATTTTGACTCAGAAATTTTTGTCTCAGATAATTTATAAATTCTCAGTAGAAATAGAGTTATGTTTCAGATTAAAATAGTTTCTCAATCATTACTATTAGCTGTTTTTTTCTTGGTAGTGAGAAAAACATGTAGCAAATAAAAATTAAAAATATCTGCCCCAGAGATTAGTCTTGACTGGCAACAGAAATGTGGATAGACACAGATGATTGGGAAGAGTATTCTACAAAGCAATTTGGGTTTTTTAGTGGATATGATATTCTTGTTTACTACACATTTATATCAAAGTATAAATAATCTTTGTATTTATATCAAGAAAATGTCCTCTCTGTATCGGCTTTTACCTAAGTGTCTTTACTAAGTCAGACCAGTCTGAACATTGCTCCCTGTAACTTTTAACCTCTGCTCTTCCCTAATCTACTCTAAACAAAATCACTTAGAGCTGAATAGAGGATTTATGTACACCTTCATATTATGCTAATATGTAGCATATTTTCATCAGACAAGCTCTCATTCTGTAGCCACAGGCTTTGGAGCTAAAAGCAAGTCAGTGCCTTCTGGCCTGGGGAGGTACATGTTTGTCAGAACCCTTGAGAGCAGTGAGCTGGGGTGATGGGGGATGAAACTTGCCCTGGAGCACAGGAAGCTGTTGTTGAGAGCTTGGCAGGGCATCAAGAGTGTTTTGGGGGGCTTCAAATGGCCAATGCTCTTCTGTGCTGGGTGGGAGCATGAAATGTAAACCTTATCTAGGTGCAAAGCTTCCATGCCATATGGGCTTAGACAAGTTCCAGTGAAGCACTGCTAGCACTATAATTTCCACATGAATATGGCCAGAATGTTTAGGTATTGATAGATAAGGAAAGTTATGTGCTCAGAACACACACTGCAATAAATGTGTTGAAACATCTTGTGGCCATTTAATTAATTATCCAGTATCTAGAAATAACTAGACTATCCTGTGATTGAAAGGGGAAAAGGAGGTGAGGCTGGTGCTAAAATACAATAACATTTAACCAGCTTCTTCTTG